CACTGAGTTGTTCGAAACTGTTACCATTGTGTTCGGCATCGCTAAAAACCCTTATGTACTTATTTTGGACAGAATCAGACAACTTCTTAATTTCGACCAATCAGAGGCAACCATTTCGTTATCATGGTAACTGAGCTTTTCGAAACTGTTACCATTGTGTTCGGCATCACTCAAAACCCTTATGTACCGATTCCGGGGACAATCAGACAACATCTATATTTGGACCAATCAGAACCCAGTATATGGTGGCCATTTTGTCAAATTAGAAAACAAATGTCGCAGTTGAGTTTGCAATGCCATATTACGCATACATACTAAATCTAAACTAAATCGAACTACAACGGAGCTTCGACCAATCAGTATCCAGTATATGGCATCCATTTTGTCTAATTAGAGAACGGATGTCATAGTTGAGTTCGCGGNCCATCAAGATGGGTAACAGTGGTATTACACTGTTTTTACTGACTGTGATCCTGCAATTCCGAGGTGAGTTGATGACTTATTGTTTCCTCATATGAGGATCGTCTGTGTGGCCATCTCTTTTGTCAGTTATATTGAGATCGAAAGGTTATATTTTCTTTCCTCTGGTGAGACCTGTTCGATGGTGGATAGGTCTGGTGTTTCTGTCCATATGTCATTGGTTATTGTTATAAAAGTAATATTGTTCTTATACCAGCAAGTGAATTCAATAATATTACTGCTAGATACAACTCCAATACAGAAACACCGAAGATGGTCTCGACGTTACAGTTTTTGACATTAAGAGTCGGGTATGTGGCCATGGATGGGGGTTAATATCCCTGCGTGGCCAGCCTTGTTGAACTTGGGTAAATAAATTGGGTACTTGAGTAAATAAGGGGCCGAGATGACTACACATTTTTGTCGGATGTTACAAGCTTTTACGGAGTACGACTATATTGTATTTGGACGTATTTGTCTTCCATATTATCCTCCATGTTTTCAAAATGACTATATAATGATTTTAAGGAGTGTTGCGAACCATTAGTGCTTTACGATAATAACACCCTGACTTTAGTATATAGCTATAAACATAAGCAGAGTGACATTAAGTCACAAGTGATATGCAATAAAGCAGAATAATTGTGTATAATGTCAATATATTAGATGTATATATATATAGAGAGAGAGCTGAAAATCGCATATACAGTGTCTCTAAATAGGTATATGACGCTCTCTATTTAAGAGGTTCAGCGAACAACGCATATTAGTCTCATACATACATACATACATACATACATACATACATGTATATTAGTCTCATACATACATGTGTGAACAAATAATCCAAATCAATAACTGACAAAAACCTTACAGATTTGAAAACAATCTTAATAGACAAGTTCGTATGAGACTAGAGTTCAATGAAGAATATACATCAGCGTTAATTAACAGGCTAAATAGAAACGAAACTGAGGAGACATCAAACCAAAATAGAGAGATGACGTCATAATCCATAATGTCCAATCTAATTAAAATCATATCCAAATTAACGGGAATTCGGATCTGATTTTAATTAGATTGCATATACATGTATGTCCTTCTGCAAATATCCTGAGGTTGCAGGCATGTGTCCCGGTCGGGAACAGTTCCGTTCCTGAATTACATTCATCATGATGTACATAGACTAGGTAAAAGTATATAGATCGAAATGTAACGTGGTTAAAACAAAATATTGGTCAGGCATCCATTAACATATACCTGCTGGGAACCAACCGACAACAAGCCTCGCGGAGCATTAATAAAGATCGATCAAGGTACAATGTAAATGAAATGTGTTTTTATAAGGTTAGAGGCATGACGTACGAGTCACTGCGTGGGAGCTCTGATCGACGACTTCTATCCTAGATATAGAAACACTTTTAAATAATTTCACAATAAATATATAATAATATACATAGTCCATACCATAGGAGAGGGCTTCTATAGGCATAACGCCTGTTGCCCAATTGAATTTGTATAAGATGCAATATTCATTAAAAAAATTGTGAAATGAAAAAGTACCAGCTGTATCTATGTAACAGGTGTACGAAGGCCATTGCATTTTAGTTATTACAAATCGATGTTCTGCTCATAACCTACAGGGAAAATGAAAACAAAACATGTACAACAAATGTGTTCAATGTAAGACGTTTCAATGCTTTCGAGAACTGTTATTCAAATGTTTATCTATGTTTAATTACTTAGTTAAAAATGATGATGATTGTCTTACATCTGTGAATTTGAGGCGTTCAAAAGTGACACTTTGTTAGCTTAGGAAGAAAACGAATCTTGTATATGTCCTGTACATAAGGCAGTGTAAATCTCACCATTTGTGCGTGTGCAACACAATAAAGATATAGCTGATTTTTTTTCTCTCTCTCGTTTGAACAATACAATAAAATACAAGAGGTTTTCAATTTTTTTTTCTTTCTTTTTTTCTTATTAAAGTGAGTTAAAAAGGCATTGGGAAAGAAGCACCCTATGTTTCTTGTACATGTAGTTAACTGTTAATAATACCTTGTGATAGTGAGCATATTAGGGTGTTATATGTATTAGGTTATCACGTCAGCGGGCGGGTGGTTGGGCGCTCCGAATTTCATAGGAAGACTAAATACAATGAGAGCTGGGACAAGTTCGATAACCACCATTATCCGCCTGTAATGCCCGTTGAATGGACAGTGTCCCGCTCGAGATCTCCACTAGTTTTCAATGGATTAACTTCAAACTTCATAGACAAATTACCATGAAATCAATCTCGTTACCAATGTCCGACTGTAATTTAAGGAGTTATGCCCCTTTATTCAATTGATGAAACAGTGGCCGGTCATGATCATTATCTCGAATAATTTTCAACTTCATTGGGAAGGTTAATCACTATGAAATCTCGGATGAGTTCACTAACCACCATAGTCCGACTGTAATTTACGGAGTTATGCCCCAGAGTCAGTGAAGTGAGTTTAATCACAATTATCAGATCATTATTAATAGACTTATTCCCCTTGGTTTCATTAATGCAATACTACATGCATTCAAAGCCTTTTTTTATTCCACTCATTGATCTAACAGGTATGTCGAATTATTTCTCCTATACAAAAATTACTCATAAATATATATATTTCAACGGTACGAACAACTGCTCATTCGAAGTGTGATTTCAATTGGTTATTAATTTTGAACCTTCATTTCCACTCCAAGTTATTTGAAAAAGGAATTAATGTTCCTAATCTATGCTGAATTGCTACGCGTCATTATAAAAACAATATGTCCTTTACCAATGCCAATGCGCCTATAATGCTAAACTGCAGTAGGATTTTAGTAGCTTCATAGTACAGCATAGCACGTACAAAGACACATTCTTGTAAATTGACATAGCGGTTTTTGTTGATACAAGTTATATGCCTGAACACAAAATCGTATGCGAGCCTTGGTAAACAATCATAATAAAACAAATAATCAAACAACTAGTTTAAAGCCAAAAGAAAATGCTTCAATCTGAGTTAAATACATTTTGAATGACAACATGGTTGTCGGAGGAGAAAAGAAAGAAGCCTTGCTATACTTGGTCCCACAACGTTGTATGATATCTCACCTGGTGTGGTACGGTCCTTCATGACAATTGTTTAGTCTTCTATCTTATTTTGGTTTGAATACCGCACTTATCATATTTCGGTTACATTGTTCGGTTTAACAATATCTGATTTCAGCAAATAGTTTCTTTTAGGAAATGATTTGTATTCAAGTATTAACCGTTAGCTGCAGTTAATATCTGTATTAGCGGTATTGCAATACGATTTATATATCAGTTGTGTACAACAAAGTAAGTATAAAACTAGCTTTGCCTTTATTCATCTTTTCATGTATGTACATTTTCCAATGATTTGGTTTGCTATTCCTTGATGGATACGTGCTTGCTGATAACTTATCACAATACTACGTGTGTAATTGTATCTTTACATGACAATTTCGATATAATGGTACATTTTGTATGTTTACACGAATATATAAACTTATAATTACTTTAAACGAAATGTGTTGGATTACATCTTTACATAATAATATGAATTTTATAGTATCGTTGCTGAAACGAAAATTTGTGTAAACGGATATGATAATGTTGATTTTATGATATTTGACCTTTAAAGGGACAATTTAGTGAAGTAAACTTTTTTATAACCTTGTTACAAAATTCTTCATGATTATATAGTGTGATACTCCTTATGAGCAATTTATGTCGAGAAATTGACAAGTAAAATTATTTTCTTGGCGTTTTTAATCAGTAATGGAGAAATCCTTAACTGTAAAGCCGTACGTTTTAGCGGCAGCTGTCGGTGAATTTCTAGCTAACGAAATGTTTTCCTAGTCGAGAAGAGAAGGTAACTTTTCGCTTTATTCACCTAGCCTTTCTGGAATACAAATACAAATACTGGATTAAAATCATATTCCAGCAGCATCTATAACATCGTTATAAATGAGTTATCTATTTTACGTTTAAACCTATTGATGTCGTACTTTCTCCGGTTTGAAATTGTCCCTACGGCACCCTCTCAGTCCGTGCATGATCTAGTTGAACCTGCTCGTTTTCATTCAAATCCAAACGTGAAGAGAAATATCTGATTAGAGGTTTATATTGTGATAACTATAACTCAAGACTCTTAACTGACACTGTGTTGTCGATCGACAGCGTAGTGCTGTACATATTAACTTCTCACTGAAAGGCCCGGATATTGCGCTATTTCGGTCGTTGCTATTTTTATCATCGGCTTTTCCCAAAATATGAAACTGACGTGAACTTCAGGTAAGTCATTATCAACTACGTAAAGATATATATTTTCAGTATCGACTCGATTTTCAGGTTTTCATTTGGTTTTCAATAAGAACCATGTGGTAGATTGGCCTTTGGCTAAACATGTCATCTTCGTTAAATAAAGTTTATTATTATCAATTTTATTATTATTGATAAGAAAATATGTGTAAACTGTGTTCTATTTTAACTGTACAAAATAGGTGGTTTTCATTCAATTTTATTTTAAAAAAGCAAACTTTCTAATGGAATTGACCATGACTTTCACAACATAACAATTATGATGTCACAAAAATGAAAACCGCACAATCTGCACCATATCTGGCCTCGTCATTATGAAACGGTCTTTAGTCCTATGTTTTGATGTACTCTTCTGTGGTTTAAATCACGTTAAGGTCACTTTTTGATCTGGTGTAACGGGTTTTTGTAATATTTAACAAATTATGATCAAGTTTAATAGCAAACATGCATCTGAAAAATATGTCAAAAAACTAGATGCCTGTTGTTTGAAGAACCTTTTTAACAAGAATTTAAAAAAAAAATGACCAATTCGGCGGCCATTTTGAAAATGTGTATTAATGTGTATTTCTTGCGCTTCGCAAAAGGCCTAAATTTCACCTTTTTTGACACTAGACAGATCACTTAAATTGTCATTGTGTCGCCATTTTTAATTGTAGCAGGTTCA